CGACTGAAAGAAGTCTATCGATGTTGAGATTAGACAAAAGTTGGCACAACCTTCAAAGCATGCACATTTCTTCCTTGTTTACAATCTTCAAGCATGAAGCGTCTTGTTTTAAGGAAATGACAATTTATTAGAAGCAAAATATACTTGCATATAATCTAACAAAATGAATAATATTTGAAGGCATCCACACAAAATGTACAACTATTAGAAAAAATCACAAAGTTTCAGCCAATAATTAAATAAATAGAATTACTTATCAAATATTTCTCATCAATCAATCAATAAAAATCCCCATAACAGAACAGTAAGATGCTTTTAGAGATACAACAATTTAAGGAAAATAAACGAATTCTGTGTGCCTTCAACTGCTATTTTTCTTTTCCAAGCAAGATTAGAATTTAAACAAATTTTTATATAATAAAGTAGCAGCACTAACCTCTAATTATCTATGTTAGAAATTAGAGCTGTTCTGCAACTTTATAATATAAACGTTTTTTTTTCAAGATACTCTCGTCTTTACATTATCGCTCTGAATCTCTGGGCATTACGATCCTTTTGTTGATATTTCTTGTTTCTCTCAATCTTTCTATTCTCCACATCATCTAATTATAAACTGTAAGTATAACTCTTGTTTAAGGTGCTGTTTTACCGTGTACTCGTGTGTGCAGTTCACAAAATAGACACTCTTCATACTCATATATCTTGTCTTCTTACAAGTATGCACTATATTGAGACTGCACTATTTTTCTGTATTCTCAATCTTTACTCGCCAACTTCTATCAAAATTTTTTTCACTATATTTTGTAATAGTCTGCATAAACTGAATACTTAGCAGAAGATTAGGCATGAAACATGCATCCCTCAAATTCGTATGCTGAACATTCAAGTCATGAAATGAATTATCTGTCAAGAACTGAGAATATTCTGTATCACACACTGCACTGGTGTTTTAATCATGACATCAGAAACAAATCAACGAACTGTAAAAGATATAGGTTAACTTTTTGCTTGAATAAAGCTAGTTCTAGACTGTGCAAACGAAATACAAGCAAAAATTATTCAACAAGCCATCGATGAAGATGAGAAAATAAAGAAAAAGTTCTCTCATTACATCCAATTATTGCATTTCTAAAACACAAATTTGATTGAAAAGTGCCAAGTTTGGAGATGTTAATATGAGCTAGAGTAAATAATAATTGCAATAATGAAATTAGAACAGTCAGTCAAGAAGCACAGTCATAATCGGGAATGGACAGAACAATATTATGCTTATCGTTTTTTGTTGAGAAAAATGCATGGGCAGAGAGAGTGCAGGAAGGCAACAATTTGAGAATTTCACTTCTGAGGAAATATATTGCACAGAGGGTGTGCAAGAGCTTAAAAAGAAACCCTCTTGCGAACTTTATTTTTTTCAGCAGATATAGACGCGCATATATGTGTGTATGTGCACTACAAAATATATATGTATACAGACATACACTCAAACCAAGTCAACGAATGCAAGAAGTGAGCATCGGTGCTGGCTTCTGGTTATTTGGTAAACAAAACTGTGACTAGTGTTGAAGGAGGTAGCAATAACAATATTCAGAGATTATAATAATGAGTGTAGAGGTTGTGTAGTAATAAGGAGGACGGCTGTAATCGTTCTGACTTTTGGATTTGCTCTAAAACTATCTGCCACTGTTCTGCACATAACGTATACATACATATATACATATATATATAATCTCTGCACAACCTGTACATACATACATATATGTATATATATGTATATATGTATATGTATAGGTTGTGCAGAGATTATATATTAGCAGAGATGTAAATGATCATTTTTATCGTGTAGTAGCTAGAGCTATGATATATGATCTGCTCATCGTGACCTCTACAGGAGCAAAAGAAAAGGCTGGGATAAAATAGTAGTCTGATGACAACTGATGCTCCCTGGACAATGAAACTCATCGTGATCTATTCTATGTAGTAAACTGCTGAACTATTAATGAGCGTGAAGTTTGCGATGAGTATTGTCAACAAGGAAGATATAAATGAAACAGATGTACTTCGAAAAACTTGTTCAACTCCTTTTTTTTTTTAGTAATAGAATTAATTATTAACTGACAAAAATATTTGAGTGATTTCCAGGAATCCGCTTCAGAAGATAATATATTAAATCCCAAGACTACACTCGTTTTAGGTAATTCTTTGATAACAAAGTTCCAATTCGAACAATTACAGTCTGTGATGAAGAATGTCGCAAGGATTCGAAAAGTCATTTCTAAATTTGATGTAAGAAATAGCTCTGAAAAATTTGTTCAAAAAGAATACCTTTTATTTGTGATATGTAAATAACACACTTATTATTTACTTGAGAACACTTATTTACATATAACAATTTTCAAAAAATTCACAATTTGTGATATGTAAATAAGTGTTCTCAAGTAAATGAATACACGTAAATTACTTCGAGTAATTTGAATTTTTCGAATTTTACACATGAAATTTCCATAAAAGATCAGATTATGTCGATAGAAATGATAAAGTGTGTCCATATGTATTTTTAATAAAGTATGTAATCTTCATAACAGCTGAACATCGAGACTGTGACAGATTTGAGCGAAATTATGAATAATATAATCAATGGATTGAGGACTTTTACAATAAAATATAATATCAAATATAACCATTACTTTTTCCGCCCACGTATTCAGTAAACATGCGCCTGATCAATCATAAATTTAAACAGCATTTCACAGCAAAATAAATATTCAAACTGTTTGCAGATAAATGTGAAATCATTTTATCATTGTTAGTATCAGTAACATATAGCAAGCTCTCACTTTAACTTGAAAGCGCTATTTCGGAAGAAATAAGTATTACACAACGTGTGCAAATTTATGTTCTTCATTGTACTATACTTTTCTCGTGCCAACACTCACTTCGATCAGCACTAGCCAAGCATACTTTTACCAGCAATAAATTTATCACACAAACAATTGTCAATCAATAATCTGAATGCTTTGCAAAAAAAATTATAAGTTTTATTGTAAAAATTTTTCATGCTTTAAGTACATGAAAATCATTACAAGTAGTCCGAATCTCATTAAAAATTCATTAAAATATTATTCGATAATACACTTCGAAAGAATTTATCCGATTATCGATCTTGTAATCAATTAGACCGACCGAATTGGATTGAAGTGCAATAAGTCCTCAGCTCTTAAATATTACTGAATTTCACGAAGCTTTTTATGTACTAATGCATAATATATCATTGCTATGGGAGCGAACTTTGCAGAAGGTTTCCTCTTTTTTGTCTTAAATTCTCCATTCATGGCAGGATTCAAACGATATTTGCAATCACGCAAGAAATCACCAAAAATTATTATTCGAGTAATTGTTGAGATAAATTCACCAAAAATGATTCCTTTGGTGAGATATTTTGCTGAATAAGAGAGTGTCCCATATAAGCACCTACACTTTTCATATGTCAATTCAATCGCACTCATTTAGAAAATTTATCAGACAGACACTTTTATTTTTAACAGAGAGAAGAAACAACAAACTTCAATTTTTACGCAAATTTCGCTACAGGAGAAAATGACTGAGTGGTTTTGGAATTTCGAATCTATCAAATGTTTGTTTGGTTTATATTTGAAATGAAAAACATCAATGGTTTGAAAATGGTACAGTGGCAAGTAGCAATTTTCAGGGGCTGGATGAAACATGCTAGATTCACAGGAATAATTGCAAATAAACTAAAAAGTAATGTCCCAATATTAATATTACGCTATAGTACTAACCGCTAAGACTGAATTATATAAAGATTAATAGTGCACAAATGAACAGTACAATAAGCTAAGTGCCTGTACTTTTTTTTTCTTTCAAAATTTCAAAGCAAACATTTTTCTGTATTACGTATTGCGTATTCATTTACCGATGTTTAACTCCTAGTGTATCATTAGTTTTCTGGCTGATAAGAAAGTTGATGGAGAATCCATTTACGCGGATTTCCAACCAAGAAGTTATTTACGAAAATTTTTCGACTTTTTAAAGCTTGTAGAAATTTGTTCTAATACTTTGTGCTCAACAGGAAATATTATATGAATTGCTTGAATTAAGCGTTACTTGCAACAAATATCTCACAAATGGATTAATTAGTAATTTAAAATCAATTTGAAATTTATTTTTGTAAATCGTTACATTTTTTAGGAATTTGACGGACAGTAATACATCGAATGACCAAATAAAATGCAAAAACTTTGCCTTTTTGACTTCAGTAACCAAATTGGCTATTTCTACTTCAATTAGTTAACAAAATTGAACTAGTGGATAAGCAATGATGCAAAAAAAATAAACTAAAATTTCAAATTAGTTAATGATTGAATAACAAGCTAAATTGACCAAATGATCTATTCCGATCACGAACCTGATTGACTTAAAAGTCTGATTGCTAGCAGAATTGTAAAAAAAATAATTTATATTGTTTATGGATACTTTTTAGCATAGTGAGAAATCATTTGGAATAATGTAAAAGACTGTAAAGCCTCGTCTTTCATTTTAGTTATGCCAAAATATGAACAGTGTAGAAGATTTCACTAGTGACGTAGAAGTATGCCAACTAGTGCTAATCACGTTCTCTTCCATTTATTTCATATAATTCAAACGTAAATTATACAGTGCAATAGGATCATCCCCATTGCTGCTTATGATCAAAAGTAAACATGAGGAAGTGATCACATGTGATCAGAAGTCAACGTTTGCAAAGTGATAAGTGATACGGAAAGTGATTAGGATGATGATCACTGTAAGAGCTGGCAGTACTCAGCCCGGAGTTCATATTGACAGAGAAAGTGATCAATACTGAGAAAGAGGCAGGTCTCCAACGTTCATTGCATCATCACTTGGCATGCTGCTCATTCTTGCAGTGAGCATTGAAACGTACCAGACCAGTATGAAGCATAACGTGAAGGGTTGGGGAGCAGAGATCAAGAGGGTACGAGAGAATGTTGGAGAGAGGAGCTGAAAAAGAAAAGAGTCAAAACTCAAAAGTGTCACTATATCCTACTGCTCCGTCTCTCTCTGCTAGTTGCGGCAAGCGTGGTTGGATTGTTTCGCGTACTTTGGTTTGAGTTATTCCTAGAAGCATGTGGTCCGGTCTGACATGTCTCAGAAGTGTGACTGAGGTTTTTACTTATGATAATATAAGCAAGAAATTCATACATCTGAGGAAATATTTATTGATTAGATTCCTATATTATATATATATGTATATATATATAGTCGCTCTCAGTCCTGCTGCTGATCTCCGCTGCTTCGTCTTCGTCAAATCCACGGCACTAATCAAATGCGATGCTTTCGAATGTCTTCTTAAACACTATCGATTGGATATGTCTCGGCGCTTAGCGCAATGTTTATGAAAGTTCGTTACGATCTCCGTACTCATCACATGCGAAATTGTTTTGTCCTGCATATCATCTTTGACCTGAATCTGTTAGCCAGTACATCATATTTTCGCGGTCAAGATCACTGTAAACCTGTTTTGACTAGTGATGTCACCTTTATCAGGATTATCACTTCTTATCGTATATCATGATTTCCGGTCGATCCGCACTTATCTTTATAGCTTTTCTCTCTCGCATATCTACTTTAATCTCTACGTTGCCATTTGCAACAGCTTCATGAACAACAGATTGGCTTCGCATGCGAGGGAATGCTCTTATATTATACTTTTTGCAGAGTCCCATATGAAGCACCTCACTGTCTTCTAGTATAGTCGTGATATACTTTCTCGCACTGCGTTGCTAGATGGTCGACTGTCTTCAAACTGTCTAGATGATCGACCGTTTTCTATATGTATGTATATAAAATAGTGATAGTAATAATGAGACATAGATTATAGGTAATGGGTCGTGCTCTGGCGCTCTCGTCGGCTCCTCCAACGTTCATTCTTAAGTGTTTATCTCTGTTACTATATCCGTCAAGTCCAAAGCAGTGATCCAGTGGAATTATTTCTAGCATCTTCACGAACACTATCGATTGCATATATATCTCGACAATATACCGACTTCTTTTGTGTGTCGTTCATGTGTCCTCACGCTCCACATAATCACATGCGTAACTATTTCTTTAACAATTTCATCTCTGCCCCTACTCATCATCCTGCAGATCATATTTTTTTCGCCTCCGAATGTTATCAACCTATCTCGATTAGTGATCCCAACCTCTATCTTGATTACTACAGACCGCTTTCTAGTGTGCTCCGGGATATCGATGGATCCGCACTTATTTTAGTCGCTAATACTACTCGCATATCGACTCTTACCCTACACATTCTCATTTGCTACAGTGTCCTGAACAGAGTAGCTTCACATGAGAATACTTTCAGAATCCCAACTGGATGCATTGCACTACTTCATGTGCTCTTTACTATAGTCATGAATGCAGCATTTTCTCGCACTTCATTGCCAGTGTCCACTATCTTCACAAGCTCTCTACAGTTTGAGCACAAACTTGCCAGCTCCAAATATATTTCTCTCCTGGAAGTGACAGTATCTTACCTCATCTCGCGGAGTTATGTCCCCTTCTCGAAGCAACATTGATAAATTGACCATTGGGAAAAGCTCATTATCTTTTATAGTTTTGCGTGGGGAACCCTTCGATTAGATATGAGAACGATTGTATGATGATACTGGGAAACTGAAGAAGCATGAGCTCGGTTCTCTCTGCTTGAAGTTGTCGACCCATGTCCTAGCTCATCTTTTAACAATACATCTCTCTAAATATGTAGGTTGACTGTTACTGTTTACTTATGATTAATTGCCTGATATTATAAATTACAACTTTATCCTATCAAAATATCGGCTGAAAAGAAACTAAAGTGTGGATAAAAGTTTCGTGTAATGACACGTGGTACCATTTTCTTCATGTTTTTGTTTTTAGGATATACACTTAGTTAAGTTTTTGTTCAACTGACATTGAAGTTCTTGGTGACAAATCACGTTCATCGCTTGTATCCCCAGCATTGTTCTAACTGAATTTACATGTTTTACAGTTAATTATTCTTAATGGGAATACATTTATCAAAGATTTTTCGAGTTAAAAAGTTAGTTGTCCTGTGTGGGTCGAACACAGTTGTGCACGGTAAGATGACTGGTTCATATTTGTTATTTATGTATGGAAATTAGCAGAAATACTACTTCTTCCTCAACGCTAACAAGATCATTGGAGAGTTACTGCTTCTTTGTCTTTATCGGGGACACCTCTTACTACCCACAAAGTCGCAACATTCTTTTCTGCTCAGTGTTTTCTTTTTTCTCCTATAATTGCTTGACTTGAGCAGTTTTTTTCAATCTGGTTGTCTAATAATACTGCTGTTCATATTTTCATTCAGTGCATTTGTTTTTAAATAAGCTAATTATCAATAAATTTGCAATTATTAATGTGCTCAAAAAACAAAAACTACACAAGTAATACAATATCAGCCATTGCCCTTATCACAGACCAAAGATTAAAACACTACTTGAGTTTAGTCATATTTAAACATTGAAATAAAGGTGGAGTCTCTGTGCTTTAAATGCATCTCACAGGACAGCTTCTATACTCGTGTTTTTGCGTTTCATGGCACATTATGAGATTGAGATATTTCTGTGATTCATTCAAATATTACTGTAGGCTCATTAGATGTAGTAGTTCTCGAAATAATTTTTAAGAGCGTATGATGTATGTGCGTGCTGCATTTCAAGTATGACATATTAGACATCATTTTAGAGTTAGTATTGTCTTTAATAACATATGAACATAGATTATTTTGTATATTTATGGTTTTACTGTTTCATCTTAGTAGCAAAAGTTATTGGACTGGCTGTTAAATCTTTCATTCATACTGATTCGTGTGTGCAATTTTTGGTCTCGATGTCATGGTTCAAATAATAGTATTATTTTTTAGCTATTAATTATCGATTTTGATTTCTTTCTAGATTACAATTTACCTCCAGTTCTGCTTCGTGTATTTTTAGTTTCGTTTATGTGTTATAATTTTCAGAGCGATCAGTATTCTAGTCGATTCATCCTATTTCTGTTTACTCATTTGGTAAGACATCAAGTACTTTTTGCCGTTGGTAGAAAAAATACTGTTCATCTTTCACTTATCAAGAAGCGAATAATTGCAGGGATATCAAAGCATATCATTCACCCGTCGATTCAGTTAATATCAAGCAAACTATGACTAATTCTATAATACACTTATGAGATTAGTATTAACTTCGTTTTTTAATTGGTCTCATTAAATAAGATGTTTCATGCGAAATATAGTACCATTCTAAGCAAAAGTTCATAGTTCAGTGAAATTTAACTTACGATCATATTTTCGCGTCAGTATTGCTAGTACTAATAATTTTTGTTGTATTTGAAAATAGAAAATTAGTGCGTTTCGTCATCTAATACTTTCAGTGATCCTTACATTTTGCAAATAATTTTAATTTTAGATGGGAATAGAAAATATCAGTGACAGAAGAGGTATGTTAATAGTTGTGATACTTTTTACATCGTTTTTACTGTATTTCACACAAGCATCCACTGCAAGGAAACAAAATTCTGTTGATGCTATTTTCGATGATGGCACTGATGACGTAAGTGATTTTTCTTCCTGGTTCGATTTTTGTGCAACTGTTCAGCCGTACTTTCCAGAAATAATTGAATTTCGAAGCGGAATTTTTACCGTATTAGCATAAATTTTGTTGTAAATATCGATGCTGATTTGTATATTTGCTTCAGTTTTTATTTTTTATTCAGTCAGCGATCATTTGAATTTTATATTATTTGGCTAATAATTTTTCTCATGTATGAACATTATTTGGGACGAATTGCATCGTGATTTTAGATAAAAGAACTGTTAGAAGAGTCAGAGATGAAATTACCATCAAGGCCAGCTTTTTTGGATAAACATGGTACTGAAGGTGTCAACTATAATTTGGATAACGATTCTCGTCCCTTCATTTACTGTGATGTAAATTTTATTGGAAAATATATGACATGCTGTAATAAAATGGCTGGAAGCTAGAAACTTTCGTCGTACTATTTTATTTTTCGTTTTAATGTGAATTTTATCAAGTAAAATATGCAGCTCTGATTTTGAAGTTTTTCGATGCGAGTTTATGTGATCCTGTTGAAAATAATGGCTGTCCAAAGACGAAGATGTGCTATGCATCGGTTAGTAATCAACGCTTAGGATGTATGGTTGCAGCTGTAATTAACTCTAAGGAAAAGGTAATTTCAATTTTCAAGCGGAATTTTTAATATGCATTTTAGTTCAAAATTAAATTAAATTGAAAGTTTTTAAAGGATGTTCTGATTTCGTTTAATAGCACTTTTCAGAACAAACATAAATTTGAGTTTGTTTCTTTGGGACAGGAGCTTTTTAATAAATGTGCAATTTTGGAAACTAAAAAAAAATTTTAACTCGGCAACATCAGGTTTTATAAAGCATTTTTGAATTTTTAAGCATGTGACTTTAAAAGGATGCTGGCCGCATGATGGTAACTTGGGTAACTGCGACAATCGTCAATGTGTTGCTGATAAGCAATCATCTGGGCATGGTATAGCTGCGTTATTTTGTTGTTGTAGCGCGCACTATTGCAATAGAATTTTCCATTATCCACCTTCTGCAGAAACCATACGTAGGAATTTTTTTTTTACTACATACATGTGATAACGTAGTGTTGTAACTTTCGTTAAGATAAATTGCTTATTTTTAGTGACACGTAGTCATTGATCATTTCTTGTTATACGAAAACGTCAAAGTGATTTTTGCAGAATTTACATTTTAGAAATGGTATTGTAAAAAGATCGGTATTTCAGTACAAGTAACAAGATATGTTGCTTTATCTGTTTTTTTATGGCGTATTTCGTAGCTTTTAGATTCATTTATAGAAATTGGTGCATTAATTTGAACATTTTGTCTTCAAATACATTTTGGTTATGTTATAGAATATTTGCAGTATCTACAACAACGATAGTGCCAATTAAGAAATATAATCTCGGATTTCTTAGTGGAGGTAATAAAATATTTGGAATGACTGTCATTGGTTTTTTCTCGTTTTGTGGCTTAGCTTTGATCGGTTATTACGGCTATCGAGAATGCAGGAATAGTCATCATAAGAAAGCAAAGGTTTCCGAATTATCTTGATCGTAATATATGTCATAAACATAAATATATTGCTAGCTTCCTTATTCTTGAAAGTGCTTTGATTAGAACTTTCAAGACACCTTAGGATTATAAATAATATAAGCATGTCTTCACACTTAAAATTCTTTGCAAGTTTTTCCTTGACTGTACGCTATTTTTCAGACGGCTGACGCATTTTCAATGACTGTCGTTGGTGATGCAAAGTTACCTTTGATTAAAGCTACAAAAGAAGATAATTTGAAAAATGTGACCAATATGGAGGTTATTTTCTTTATCATTGTTTGGAAACTGTTTGTGGTATTTTTGTAAAATAATTTCTGTTCTACTGATTGAGATGAGAGTCGTGAGGTAATTTTTTTCTTTTCGATGCCCCACATGATTCTTCCTTACTTCGATAATTTATTTGAAGAATTATCCTCTAATTCATCTGTTCATCGTATAATTTCTCCATTATTTTTGAAAAGCTCCAAGGTTTCATACTTTAGACTTATTCCTTTTTGTTTTTTGTCATAATGGCGATCTTGCAAGCTGATTTCTTTACTGATAAAGAAACTTCACTTGACACCACATATTTATTGTTTATTTATACTTCATACATTCAGTTAGTTGCGCGTGGGCGATTTGGTGAGGTCTTTCGTGGTGAACTAGACGGTGAAGTTGTTGCAGTAAAAGTTTTTCCTGCTGCAGATGCAAATAGCTGGGTTACTGAACAGGTTAAAATTATTTTTTTGCTTTTTTAAGTGTGAAAAAAAGGGAATTTTTTGTGCTGTCCTTAGTCCTATATTTTTCAGTTTTGGAAATCTGCCAAGAGCAATTTGTTTTTAGCAAAACTTCAAGTACTCATTTGGTTTTATTAATGCATTATTGCTTGTACAAATTAATTTGTTACTGATATATTTTCAGGAAATTTATGCAATACCCTCTCTTCGAAAACACCAAAATATATTACGATTGCTCGCCGCTGAAGCGCGTGGAAGCGTTTTTTGGTTAATCACTGAGTTCCATGACTTTGGTTCATTGTTTGATTTTCTTCATGTAAGTTTGTTTAAAGTGTTTTTAAATTATATTCTCTTTAATTTAAGTCTTTTTTTCGTCATTTTCAACTCCATAAGTTTTCTAAAATCTCTACAAGAGGCTTTTTGACAAATCATCATAATACTCAATCGACTGCAATGAAAATTGCAGTTTCGCATTCTGACTCTACAAGAGTCTCTAAAAGTAATCGCCTCAATGCTCAGGGGCTTATCTTTTCTTCACGAAGAAAGAATAATCGATGACAATATGAAACCATGCATTGTACACCGGTAGCTGAATTTTTTTATGGTTTATAGATCAAAATTATTGATCATATATGCTCTATAATTTCATTTAATCTTTGTCTTGCACTGAAGAGGTACTTTTTGAACTCCAGAATTGAGTTTTAATTTTTAGTTATAACAACTAGGCTAATTAATAAATGTTGATTTCGGTTACAAATATCAAATTATATGGATGCCTCTTTTGCTTCAATTCTAGTGATTTCAAATCGAAAAATGTGCTGCTGAAACATGATCTGACTTCCGTAATAGCTGATTTCGGTTTGGCTTTAAAGTGTGAAAATGGTCAGATGACATTAGATGACAATCATGGGCAGGTTGGAAAATTGTCCCATATTTTATTTTATACAAATGCTGAGGTATGTTATTAAGGTAATTTCATTTGCAGGTAGGTACTCGGCGATACATGTCACCCGAAATATTGGAAGGTGCTACCGAATTTACGGCTTTCGCTTTTCGTCAGATCGATGTCTATGCTGCTGCTTTGGTTCTGTGGGAAATTTTGTCGAGAACTTCATTGGGTAACGGTACGAAGTTTTATGTCTGAAATATGCAGTTGGTACTCGGTCTGTCCAATAATGCTTCTCAAGTTTCTTCTGTTAAAATAAAAAGTCGTTCTTATAGTATCCTGTTCGGTAGTGTATATAAATTAGCACTATTCTCATGCATACAGTGGGCGTTATTTGCTACTTGATTATTTTTAAAGTTCATCATATTCGCGATATGCTTCAGTTGCAGATGATGTAGTTGGAGAATACAAACGACCATTTGAATCTGAAGCTGGAATGCAACCGACATTGCATGATATGAGACGAGTTGTCGCTATGGAAAAAATCCGACCAAAAATCCGTGCTTCAGTCGTCGATCATAACGTACATATTTTGCTTGTTTCAGCTATGGAATTTTTCGTTTTACTTGCATTTACCATTTGTAATGTTTCAGATTGGTGGTGTGTTGTGGAAAACGGTCGAAGATATGTGGGATATGGAGCCGGATGGGCGTATCACCTCTGGTTGTGCTTATGAGAGGGCCAATACATTGTATATGTCATATGCTGCTGATCTGAGATTTGTTGATTCTATGGAAAAACCATTGGAAAATTCGTCAAGTTTGTTTTGTGATTACATTCTGGAGAAGAAAGTCAAGTCATATTAGGCGCTTTTAATTTCATTGGAAACTTCTGTATGAATTCATTTACCATTTGATTATTGCAGTTGTTCATCCGACTAGCGCTGAGAGACCGAGAACGTTGTACAAATATGAAACATTTGATTAAAATTCATTCTTCGCAGCTTTTTCTCACTAGAATTTCATTCAGTTCACTAATTTTATCTGCTAGTAGAGGAAGTAAGGAGTACACAGTTTTATACTGGTCGTATTGGAAGATGAAGTTAATTTTTCCTCTTTCAATCGGAAAATTATGCTGATTCCATTCACTGATGTTATTTTTTATAGATTGCCCGCTACCTTCATGTGACGGCGGGGTGATACCGGCAGCACTGCTTATCAAAGATGGCTCTTTGGGTTCCAATGGTTTCCATACTTCGATCGAGGAATATGCACAGGCTTGTACAGCACCTCCAAATGTTCGATGTTCTTCATTATATCTTGATGCAGAAAAAGTAATCAAGGATAATTTACTTCCACCATCAAGTCACTACTCTGTCCACGGTAGTCGGCCAATGTTATAATGGTTTGTTTATCTGTAAATAGATGTATATGCTCATCTGCACGAATAGGTTTACTCATATTTTTGTTATCTTTTTGGACAAGCTTCACTATCATTTCGAAATTACCTCATGCTATTTGTTCTTCCGAAGTGTTCGATTCAGCTTTTTTACATTTGGTGAATAAATACATAATTGTAGTTGTAAGGGTATCTTTTGGTTTTCGTGATGTTCATCATTGTTGTTGAATTTGATTTCCATAATTATATTAGTATTCTTCTCTTGAACTCCGCAATTGTAATTTTATTGCTGTAGGAGATCAAAATAATGTATTAGAAAATCTAGTGATATCAGTCAGACTTGCACAGCGATTAGATTCACTTGGAAGTGCATTACATTTTTAATGACTGTTTTTGTAGACTGTTAGTTATATGATTTTGGTTTTGCAAAATACGTTACGAGAAATATTGATTAGGTGCAGTGTTCTTGTTAGTGAGATGTGTTGTCTGTGTATTGGATTTCATGTACAGTTTGCTCTATTTTCTTTTTTTGTTGTAAATTTAAAATGAATGTGAATGGCAAGCAGGTATTCTACTTTATTTTCATGATCTACGGCTTAACATATATCATGCTTTCAGAAAGTCTGCTTCAACTTCATTTAAGTATGCTGCTTTGGTGATTGATTAAGATTATTGTGCGATATTAAAACTGAATTTTTCGTGCTCATATTGTCATTGAATGAGGTGATAATCCAAATGATACTTTTTCGTTATATTTTAAATGTACTAAATGTTCTTCGGAGAAGCTTATTATTTCTTCATAGGCTTCAGAATTGTTGAAAGAATCAAAAAATGATATGAATTTTAATGAGACATTAAAATAGAAATTACGTTATGAACAAGAATTACGGTATGTTGGTTATAGTTTTTTTGATGAAATTCTTGAAACTCTATTGCTTTACTTCTATTTGTAGGGATTGGTTTTGTTAATATTTGTTTTCTCAATACAGTGTTTACTGATCGATGTGTTTTAAATTATTTCGGATATTTTTATGCTTTTAACTCATACAGTGTAATTTGGAACTTTGAAGTTCATTGTAGATAGATCCGACTGTGAAAGTATTTTTACCTATTGATTCATGCTCAAGCTAGTAAAAATTTTTTAAATTTCTATAATATCAGAATAAAATGGAAGGAAACGTTCAAGTTTTTTAAATAAACTTCGAGGTTACTTCTATGATGTCTTATCAATTTTTTTGAGAGTTGGGTTGCACTACTCATTTTAATTTCATTGCTATCTCATGCTTTTTTCTCTTCGTATTGTTGTGGATTTGTCATTAATTAAAGAGAAAATAATTGCATAAATTTAATTACTAATAATCGGCTTCTGATTACTGTGTCATAATCTCTATCTCTTTGAAGAATATCAATAACTAAGTTGTTTTTGTTGCATAATTACAGCAATATAATGTCAGCAACTAATACGTTATCTCGAATGTTAGTCGCATAACTTGTCAAGTATTTAGGAATTATGTTGGGTGATGTGCTAGGTATTCTTTAGTACATGAATTTTTTATCTAGATGGATTTCATGGAGGGATGAGTTCTAAGTAGCGGAGCAGAGGTTGATTAGTTGGGGAATTCATTCATGATATTTTGTTTGGGTTTTATATTAATTGCGGATTTTTTGATACGAGTGTAATGAGAAAAAAAATAGTATTTAATCAGACTTTTGCTCGATTTATAGCTTTCGACGCAAACATGTCAGCCACGGAACAGATGGCGCAAATGCTGAATGAGTTAATGGGAGTCAAGCGAAATGCAGATATTGGTGATACAGATGAACCAGATTTCGATGAACCAGATGTCTGCAAGAATTTCTTAGTAGCATTTTGCCCAAATGAAATGTTTAGGAATACGAAAGCTGATCTCGGCTTCTGCCCAAAGGTTAGTGCTATTCGGTACTAGATAAAGTTGGCATACAGTTCTGTCCGTTATACCATGATACATTTAGATTCATGATCCAGCTTTACGACTAAAATATCGTGAAAGCCGCCGTTTCGAGAAATTAGGTTATGAGGAAGAATTTTTGAATAAGATTCGTCGTTTGGATGAAGATGTACGCCGAAAAATCGACAAAAATGAGCGTCGTCTTGCCATGACGCAGCCAGTGATCAAAGGTATATTTCATTGTAGGCAAATTCGAGTTCTCACTTTTCTGGCTTGAGCCTTTAAAATATAATTAGGCATATGAGTGCATAACAGTTGGTAAACTTTGAGCTGGATGTTTATAACTAATTATTTTATCGTTTCTGAGCGTGCTAGTTTTTCTGCTGTTGCTCCAAATTTTGAAGAACATGCATCTCTGAAAATTGAAGTAATGTTTCTTTGCAAAAAGAGTGTGCTGAATAATTTTGCGATTATGGGATTACAGATGCTTCAAAGGACGGTGCCGAAGGAGAGACCGATGCTCAACGTAGACAAAAAGAGCTTATTGCAGAACAGCAGTCAAATCTATCAGCAAAGATAAATGATTGCATGGAAAAAGTAATATCATTCTCCGCTTTCTCAGCTGGCAGCCGTTGACGCAATAAAAATGTAGTAATGGCTCTGTATGCGAAATCAACATTTATCGTCGCCTCGTTATTTTCTTCACCAAAGTAGCAAACTTATTAATCTATCCAAATTTCCAGTTTGAAGAATTTTTACAATTTATTCGAAAACGGCTGCCTTCCTTCTATTTTCATGTTTTTCTCTTGTTCTAATTTGTGGACTGTTATTTCTAATCAACTAACTCATTGCCATTGTTGAGATTTTCTCAATTTGCTTCTTTTTGAATTAATGTTGTCTTTTTTCATAGATTATTTGATCCATAATAGTCTTCTCTCCACTTTCTCTCTCTTTCGGCACATATTTTAAACATATCCACGTCGTTTGGTCTTGCAGTCGTCCTCTATTTATTCTTTGCCGCGTGTGGTTGTTTTTGCCCTATTATGGAGGTCTTCCTAGGTGCGAAAAAGCGTTTAAAATACCGTTAAAAAGGAATTTTTCTTTAGGCTTCCTACACTTGTGAGCAAGTTCCGTGCTTTGGAGCCAAAACGCCAAGTCGTGTATACTTCAGGTTTCCCATCATATCATTTTTATTGTGTTAACGCGTTTGCTTCACTGCTAAAGTCTATTTGAAGACGAGTCTTAGATATTCTTTTAATGTTAAAGGCTGAAGCCTTGGGAGCGTTGGGTAAAGTTGATGAAGCGAAGGAGCAGGTGCGACAGGCTGATAAATTTAAACAAGAGCGTGCTGCGTTGGACCGTTTGCTAGCACAGTCGGCGAATCCTACAAGCCATATTGAAGATCTCGCAAATCAACTTTCGAAGCCAATGGAAGTTTGTCAGGTTAGTTGACCACTTATCTTTATAATGTTTATCATTTTATGTTTATTCATATGGAATGAAGTTGAAAAATTAGCTACCACAAAGTGACCGGAAAATTTCTTTTTGTTAAAAAACTCATGCTTGTTCTTTAGGTTGAAATATTTTTTTTTTGATGTTAGTAATTATATTTAAAAGGTTGGTTTAAGGTTTGTGGATGTTTTATGCTTGTAAATGATGTGCAGCAACGAATAGATGACCACTATGCTGGGAAGCAGCACATGGCTTATGCTAGGATTCGTGCAACTATTGAAGAGATGGACCGAAAACGAGAAGAAAAGCGCAAAGTTTGTTATAATTGTTTTGAAAAATTCGTTGATAGCCTTTACTGTATTCTATTAATTCCTAGTGCTACATTCTCACTCAATTATTTAGGAGAAGTTGGAACGTGAAGATAAAGAAAAGAGAGATCGTGAAAAAAGGGAACGAGATGATAGAGAGAGACGAGAAGAAAGAGATCGAGAACGGGAAAGAGAACGTGAAAGGGAAAGAGACCGTGAACGCGAGAGGGAAAGAGAAAAAGACCGAGATCGCAGACGAGACGATCGAGATCGTGGGTATGGTTACTACATAATACTTAGATATTCCATGAAAGTACTAGTTTTTTTCTGTTTGAGTGTGTGAATAGCTCTGTAATTTCATTGCGCAAACGTATATAATATACTTTTCACGAAGAAATAGCTTTTCCATGTTTTTATAACATCTCTATAATTTAAGTACATTTGGGAAAAGCCCGAAAATTTAATCTGATTAATTTTATTTCAGCCATCGACACCGTTCTCGTTCTCCACGCGTACGTCGAGATGATGATCGTCGTTTTGACCGTTATTCTGATCGTCATCGAGATAGGAGAGATGACAGAGATCGTTACAGGGTGAGATAGGTTATCATTTTTTAAATCAATTTATTTATATCACCCTAAATTTCAAGTCTATTTAAACTTCAGAAAAATTAATCTTGAGAGTAGTGTTATAATCACTACTATTTGTGAACTGAAAATTCTTTGTAATAAACTTTATAACCAGAGTTTATTAATTGCCAAACTTTTGATTATACCAGTATAGAAGGTGTCTAAGCAGAAGTGAAGCAAAAGTCTAGTAATAATTTCCAAGAAAAGATGAAGTCTAACTGTCCATAGTTTTCCTTGATGCTTTTTCGCGTATTGTGAAGTTAGTAAGTCCGGAAATAATTTCAGCGATGAAATGCACTGCAAAGATGAAAATATGTGCGCAAAAAGAGAAAAGTAGTGGTTGCAAGTTAATCATCATTTGATATTTTATGTTTTGCTTTATTTCTACTTTGTATTTAAAAAAATTTCTAGCAGTGGCATTGGTTCATTTTATTTTTGTTCTGAGGAAGAGTGCTTTTGATTATGGTTGTCTGAATTCTGTTTGTTCCTATAATTTTCCTGCAGAGATTTTCGAAAATTATTTTCAAGCATTGGTAAGACGTGTTGTAAAAGTATCACGATAAAAGGTTCTTATTGTTCTTGTTAAAATTGCTTTAGTATGAGGAATGTAATTCACAATTTTTTGAAAACATGAGTAATGATTGAAGATATAACTGGAAAACAATTTATTTGTTCTATTAAAATGAAGTTTGTTGTTCAATTTTTCCATGAATATTGGATTTTCCAACTATTACTAGTTTGTGTCAATTGTTGAGGAGCAAGAAGATCGGCTTAATTCTTTTTTATACACTGTTTTGTAAGCCTGGAAGTAAATTTCTTCAAAATAAGTTGCACTCAGGTACAAAACAGCATTGTGTTAATCTCGCTACTTTTCAATTTTTTTTATTCCAGAAGAACTTGGACTTGACGCTATTCTCTGTCCTGAAACATGATTCGTTAAGTTGCATTTCTCACATTGTATAGATAGAGTCATGTACAAAAATACTTGAATACTTTAAGCGGTTGGTCCCTTTCGTAAGCGTTTCTTTGTTCCTTCAAGTCAGTATGTGGTATCAAAGTTAATAGGCAAATTATTGATGGTCAGTAGTTTTAAAATGCTTCTAAAACATTGCACTCGACAAGTGTGTGTCATAGTTTGTCAGAAATAGCGCTAGAAATTGAGAACAGTTCTGGGAAATCTACGTGGATATGAAAGTGTTGTGATGCATTGTCGATCTTGATATAAGTGCAAATGTGCTGGGAACCGGAGGGTTTTTCTGTACTACGTTGAGTTTATGTTTCGAGAAGTGGTTCTGTGATATGCTGTTATGGAGGCAGTAAAGCGAATTCAGTTTTAAATTCTAGAATCTAATTAAGGCTGCTGATTCGTCAAATTAAGGCTGCTGATTCGTTCGTTCAATTGAGTCAACATATGCTTACCAGAACTGAGTGATTAATGGTTGGGCGCGCAAACGACACATTTATTGAGTCGTCTCAAATGGATGGGGCATTGGGAAATGATCATGTTTGTTGGTTCTGAATATTGCTTAAAAATTATCATATAACAGTCAACTTTTACAATGGAAGAACAGATGTATGAAAATAGTCTTAATAGCATGAGGTTAAATTTCTTCTGTGATTCATAAATTAAGAAATTTTTTGAAGGTACGCATATTAGTTGCATCTGATTTGCACATAGGATTCGCAGAGAAGATTTTGGGTCGAGATATGGATTCAGTGAGAACGTTCGAGGAAGTTCTGCAAATTGCTTGCAAAGAGCAAGTTGATTTCATTTTATTGGGTATCTTTTTCTGCAATTAAATTACGTGGATTCTCAGCACCTCGTAATTTCTTGTGTTCACGATGATTTTATTATAGTTCTACTGATATCAGTTAAGACTTTCTTAAACTGAAATGTGATTCAGTTGTTTGATCCTTTATAAAGGTCTCTTTTTTTTTTAACATTAACAAACTATTTATGTATATTTTGTAGCTGAAGTTAAGAGAAAAAATGTGTTATATGTTAACTGAATTACTCAAAACATATTTGGAGGAGGTGACCTGTACCATGAAAATAATCCGTCTCGAGAAATGCAGCATCGCGTAACGCGGTTACTTCGTAGATATTGTTGGAATGATCGCCCAGTAGCACTCCAGTTTTTAAGTGATCCGACGATTAATTTTGCTCATAGTGCTTTCAGCAGCGTTAATTATGAAGTACAGTTTTTGAGTTTCTGAAATTCATCATAGTTATGTATGGCATTCATTTTCCCTCAAGAAGACGGGTGGAATTCTCCTGCAGGTCATTTATTCATAAATAGGTTACTGATTGTAAGTGTCACTATTCTTTGCATTCTGTTTGTGGACATACTAATAATTATCTATTTTTTAATTCAAGTTTATTTATAGGATAAAAAAATTGTTCTGTGTTTCTGATAATAAATTCTTGCTTGTAGTATTGACATATGTATGGAAATGATTCTTATATTGAATATTTTGTGTTAAGGATGGTAATATCAACGTTGGCATGCCAATATTCACAATACATGGAAACCATGATGATCTTACTGGAAAGGTATGTTTTTTAGCAAGCGAGGCTAAATATTTTTATAGAGAGAGTGACAGTTATGAAAATTTATTGATGGGTTCTATTCTGGCATTCTCGCTGCACTCGCTCTGCGTTCAGTTCTGATGTCGTGATCTTCGCTGCTTCGTCTTCGTGAAATTCACGGCGCTAATCGAATAAGATGGTTTCGACCGTCTTCTTGAGCACGATCATTGGGGTATATGTCTCGACATGATCGAATATACTGATTTTCTTCGCGCAACGTTTATGAAAGTCTGTCACTATCTCATCCTAAGTCATCACATGCGAAATTATTTTTGTTTCGTTCCGCATGTCATCTCCGCCCCAAGTTTATTAGCCAGTAAAAATCATATTGGTCTCAACTGCTATTAATCTGTTCTGACTAGTGGCGCTGAATTTTTATCAGGATTATTTCATGTCGCTTCTTATTGCAGATCATGGTATCCGGTCGATTCGAGCGTACCTTTATACCTGTTCTTACTTGCGTATCGAATTTGATCTCCATGTACGCATCCCAAAGACCTTTTGAACAGAGTGGTTTCGCATGCGAGGGAATGCTTTCAGACCATACTTGCAGATTCCCAATGGATACAATGCAGTACCTCCTAGGTCTTCTAGTATAGTCGTGATGCAAAATTTTTTCGCACTGCGTTGCTAGATGGTCCAACGTCTTCACACATTCTCTACAATGTTGGCATATACCTTTCTCAGCTCCAAACATATTTCTATCCTGGAGGTTACAGTATCGTGCCTCATCTTGCAGGGTAATGCTTCCGTATCACAGCAATTTTGATAAATCAACTATGGACGAGATTTTATTCGTCCTATAGCTTTGCATGATGGATTTTATTTTCTGTTTCCTTACACAAGAACACCTTCTGGGCTGCTAATACGTTTTCAACGGTAGGGTTTTCTGGGAGGTTGTACCTAGTCTTTAGATAGGGCACAATAATTGCCAGGAACGTGTTATGAACTTTCTCCTGCTTCAGAATCGTTGACCTTCTGGTACAAATGGTTGCAGTATCTACAAGGACATTATGAAGTTGGAGAAGTATCAGCCCACTTTTGTGCCTAATATTATGAATTCCACGTCCTAACTCGTCTCTCGGCAGGTACAGTCTTTCCAAGGATGCAGGTTACTTGTGGATTCCGTATTTGATTAGTAACTGTCTGATATCGTGTCTATAGCCTTGAAGTCTTCTGGCTCCAGTTTGAGCACCTCTTTGTAATAGGTAATTAAGTCTATGGCATGCTCGTTTACTGCCTTGATAATGTTCTTGCTGTTTAGTGCAGTTTTGGCTAATTGCTCAACTGTGACCAAGATCCTTAATCCACTTTATCATAGCTTTTTCGGGTCAAAGCGCTAGTCCTGTCTTTCAGTATTTATACTCTTGAGCTCTTTCCAAAAGCACCGCCTTATTAGCACATACTTCAATACTAGTGGCTGACTTTGCTGAGTTCAATTCTAACCATACTATTTTAAAGGACTTCTGAACTTCATGCACTTCATAATCTGAAACGGATTCTTCTAGTCATTCGTCGTGCCGAATGTCATCATCTTCCATATCTGAGCTCCATATCGTGATCCAGAAATCCTGCTCTCTTAACATTCTGTTCCTCGGCTAGTTTCCAATAAAACCACCTCCTGAACAGTTCAAATCCAGCGTTCTAAATTTCAAATCCATACCGGCGCTCATTACTTTTTATTTTACTTTCATAAACTCTCACACGCTCTGTCAGCATGCTTAGGGCCTCACGACAATCACGTTACAGAGCAACCATAAAATTTATACTTCTGATACTCTTCTTGACTCTCTCAGGATTTTTGACAACTTCCATAAACGTTACGCGAAGGAAATTAGTGTATCTGATTTCGTTGAAGCATATATTTGGTCGATAGTGCTGCTCAAAAAGACGCTTGAAAGCACCTCATTTGGTCAACGTCGTCAACTCAACAACGAAGTGGCGGAAACCAGCACAGCAGAACTGTGTGCTGGGCGGCTCCAGCGAAAATGTGATCCAGTGCTAGATTCAGTAATGCAGAAAATCAAGCTCTTAATACTGGAACGGTATACTAGTTGAGCTTTTTAATAAATTGGTTTTCTTTTTTTTTTTAATTGAATTTGTTTAGTTGTATATTTTCCAGGGTTTGACTGCATTGGACGTTCTCCATGAGTCAGGTTTAATTAACTTATTTGGTAAATTCGAAGAAATTGATCAGTTTGTTGTTTCACCGCTGCTTCTTACGAAAGGAAAAACGAAATTGGCATTGTATGGAATCGGTAGCCAACGAGATGATCGTCTGTGTAGAGCATTTCGAGGTTTTATTTGAATTATTAAATTGTACTGTTGATTTTAGAGAGAAGATTAATTTATACTTGCTTAAATTACCAGAGTTGTGTTATCCATAAGAGTCTTTTTTCTGTGCTTTAATAATTTGTGTACAGTTTAGAAGAACAAATACAGTTTCTACGCCCTAAAGAAGACGCAGAATCATGGTTCAATATCTTAGTGTTACATCAGAATCGCCCCGTAAGAACACGTGAACGATCAACAGGAGGACACTTACCTGAAAGTTTCATTCCATCGTTCTTCGACCTTGTTATATGGGGTCACGAACACGAGTGTAAAATAGGTGTGCTCTTAAATTTGTTTGGAATTATAATCGTGTTAATTCCATTCTATAAACCACCAAAAAAGCATCCAATTTTGTATATTATTGTGTTTAGAGATATATAATGCTAAAGTAAATTAAGTGTTCATATCGATGAAAATTTTTATTTTTGGACCAGTTTTTGACTTTCAAAATTGTTTAATGATTGATTTGGTTGGATTTATATTGCTGCTTGCAGAACCACAGTATTATGAAAATGATGTTGATGTCCGAGGTGATGGTAAGTGTCTAAGGGTGTAGTAAATGGATTTGTGAAATTTTCAATATTTCTCTACATTTTGATTGCATGGTTTCTGTTGCTTACTTTTAAAGTTACTAAGCTTGTGATTTATATTCATTTTTTCAAATTAATAAACCAAATTTATTTTCACTTTTTGAAATATTTCATGGATTAATTTTTGTTATAGGCTTCTACATTATACAGCCAGGTAGTACCATAGCAACAGCACTTTCACGGGAAGAGGCTAAACCAAAGCATGTTGCTGTTATTACTGTTAGTGGGCGCAAATTTTTCTCTCAACCAGTTGCTCTTGAAACGCCAAGACAAATGCTTTTTACTGATTTAGCTATTACTGTGAAACCACCTTCTACTGCTTCAAAGAACATTCGCTCAAAGAATATGCCTGTTCGTACATCATATTTTTCAATTTTTCGATTCTCCACCTATTCATGTCCCTTAATTTTCAATAATTCTTTATTTTGATACTTAGAAAAAAATTTTTAAGGATGAAAAAGTGATAATAACAGAAGTGGAGAAGATGTTAAATGAAGCGGAAAGCAGAAAAACCGACAGGCAAGCTTACCCTCCACTGGTGCGCCTTCGAGTCACTTATCCAGAATCTTGGGCTAATATTATGGTAATCTTTACATGCCACACATCCTCATTTCAGCTCAAAGAATAATTATTTTCTTTCACTATATAATTTTATTAGAAGACACTTTAGCTGTCTTTTAGATATTTTTTCTTTGAAGCATTTTCTAAGAGCGATAAAAAAAATTTCGTTAAAACTCTGTTCATTTAACTTTTACAGAAATTGAATTGTCGGCAGTTTGGTGCTGCATACGTTAAACGTGTGGCAAATCCATCGGATATGATCGTCGTTAAGGTATCAAAATTAAAAAAAGAAGTAAAAAAGAAGCAAAGTTCATTGAAAGTAACTACAGATATGGAAAGATCGTCAACAGTCGAAGATATTGTAAGCTTATGTTGCGTTATTTAAAGAACATTGAATTTACTCGTCGAATTATTTTATTTCTTGGAAATACGCTACTGTAATAAAATAGTGCTCTTTAAGTTACTTTATTAGTGAGTTATCTTCATTTGTGTTTCTGTTTCACATGATTCTGATCGATTCATATTTAAATTCCTTCAAACTTACTTTGGATATATGATCGTCATTTTTTACGAATAGAAAAGATTTTCTGCAATCGTGCCTCTTCGTTAATTTCCATTCAGTGTTATATAAAAACTGTTTGATTTTCTTTGTTTTCGACAATACATGTTTTTTTTAAGTTCAAAAAATTTAAGTACATTTCCTTTAATTTTTAGGTTAATTCTTATTTTGCTGCAGCAGGTAATGATACACTTGTTGTACTTGACACAGAAACCTTGAATGATCTCGTAAAATTTCAAGTTGAGCAAGAAGATGGAAAAAGGGTGAAGAATAAGCCACTTATTGAAAATCTGCAAATCAAAAAGAAAAAATTGGTTGAAGCTCTTTGCAAAGTTTCCTATGACGATTTTTTTTCTTTCGATAAAATTGTAAGTTTTATACAGTTTTGAACTGCAGAAGCACAGGGACTCATTAAGCAACCTTAAATTATTTAGTTTTAATTTATTTACTTGCATACGCGAGTCATTTATCCTGTTAGTAACTAAGTGAGAGATATGAGTCTTGTCATATATACATTCATATTTCAAGCTTTGAGGAAGATAATGGTTTCAATGGTTGCTTGAATAGTGTAATGGAACATAACTTTTGAAACTGCATGTATATCAGTAGATTGTTGTAATTATTTCTTTTTTCTGCAGCCGAGTCATCACTGCCTGGAGAAATTCGAGGAAGTGATAAAATCTGATATGGAGAAGATACGATGTGGAAGTTTTCAAGAGTTAAAGCGGACAGAAAATAACAAAGGAACTTTGATTGACTAGTTTTATTGCTGTTAATGTCTTCGTACATGTAAGAGATGGAACAAATAAATTTCTTTTCTTGATACTTCGAATTACAGTAATGTGGTTTTGAGACATATATTTCGCGTTCGGAATGTTTCTTCCATATTTTATTTTTTAAAGTATGTTGCATTTTCATCAACTCGAGAGATGTCGATGTTTATGGAATGAAGAATGAGAAGCAGTGATGGTTTTCTTTATATTTTTGCTAGAAAAATTATTTTTTTCATGCTAAAGTCTTCGGTAAGCAGTTGAAGTCGTCTCAAGTAACATATCCGGAACATGGTGCTGTAAAGATACTTTTATTCTTAGCTTTTAATGTTATTTAGTGGTTCTTAGAAGAAATAAAATGAGAAACTCTATGCATGAAATGAAGGGACGTCGTCAAAGCCTTATCATCAATTTGCAAGAGCAGATAGACTCCATCGCTCCAAATAAATATTTCAACCGAGTTGTTGCAGCTGGCAGTAAAGGATGTTCGTTTTGTATTGCATTTATTTTCTGTGCATCTCAGTTTTGTCAAATTCTGTTATTGGAGATTTTTTGTCTAAATTAATTTTCTATACTTTAAGTGTTGAAAGTTTTTGCAATTGGGGAAGAAGGGTTTAGTTTCGTTGCTGATTTTCGTCCTGTACGTAGTCGTCGATTAAATTTATTGTATTCCGCTAGCCATGTTTCTTGGAGCTCTATAATTGGTTTGTCATTATTGGTTCTTTAAGTATCTTTATATTCTTCATTGAGAATAGTAAAGGAGTTTTTTATAAATGTATTTTGGAATAGTTTTCATGAATCAAGAAAAGCGTAACATTTGTAAATGGAAGAGAGTAAAGACAAAGTAAAACTTATTTTTCGTAATTAATTATGCATTGAATTATTTAGATAATGTGATAGCTACAACATCTACTAATGGAGCTGTTGTCCTTTGGAACGTTGAAAAGGCTACTTTTGGTATGATTTTTACTTTTGTCATGAAGTAATACTAATGGAAAGCAGTATTATGCGTGTGAAAATGAACGAAAGAAAATTTTTAAAGAGCGTAAAGTAACTATAATATTTCATTTTCGAAATGAAATTGTATATGCCTGTAGATCGTAGTTATAAAGCACATACTCGTTCGGCTACCAAAGTATGTTTTCATCAAATGGATCGCAATATCATGATAAGTGGCGCTAAAGATGCAGCAGTTATTCAATATGATTTACGATCACCAGATCCAGTTAAAAAATTTATGTAAGTTTACTGTTCTTGCTGACATAATCAATTTTTCAAATTTGTCGAAACAATCTTTAGAAGTCGATAAGCATCTTCGTATTTTATTAACAAAAGTGTTTAACAATTTTCACTAAATAGAACTTACAGAAGTGGCTCGTGTGATCCTGTACGTGACATGCAATTCGGAATTCATCCAAACCATTATGACATATTTGTCACTGCTGATGATGGTGGTTCTGTCCGCTTTTGGGATCTGCGTAGAAATGATCGTCCTATATATCAATTTGTAGCTCATCATGGTCCATCTAGTGTTGCTCTAAATCCCAATTATGATGACCAAAATTTAATTGCAACTGCTGGCAGAGACAAATTCATAAGAGTATGATTTTCAAGGTAAATAAGTATGGAACGAAAGAATAAACAGTAGTTTGTTTAATGATTTGTGAAATTAAAGATATGGAAATGGTGGAATCGATCAGATAGTCCATCAACTTCAGCAGTATATTCCATAGAAGCTACTGCATCCATTTCTCGCGTCTATTGGAGACCGTTACATAAATATCAAGTAGTTTACTCTTGTAAACTATTAATTTAATCTTAATGATGATCTTTTGTTAGCTTTTTCCTTTCGATTTCAAACATTGGTTTAGTTAGAGCTAAAAATTTTTGGTCACCTTTCATTCTGATCATGGTATTGAGCTGAGTTTATATAGTTGATTCAAAAAGTGCTTTCAGGTCGCAAGCTGTTCAGTAGTGAATGATATAAGTATACACATTTGGGATGTGCGAAGGCCATTTCTTCCTTATGCAAGTTTTGATGAGCATCGTGATATATGTTCCGGTACGCTTGAAGTTATATTTCGTATGGTTTCATTTCATAATTATCAGGTTTATAGGATTTACGATTTTCAGATTTAGCTTGGAAAAATGATGATTCCGAAGTTTTCTTATCTGCTGGAAAAGATGGCCTGTTGGTAATGCATTTTGTAGAAAATGGTCATCGTCCCATGAATCATGTCAGTGATATCGCTGTTGATATAGCACCATCGGGTACTGTTCTTGTTGCAGGTATTGCTTGTCAGCATATTTTTTGTACAAGGAAGTTAATTGAAAAGTTTTACTAAGGAATTTAGATGACAAATTTTCATCGAAATCTTTTTTTTTCGGTTTCCAGTCAAGTGATGTTGTAAAAAATGAAGTACTTACTGAGAAATCTGAAAGTTCTTTTGGAAAGGACATAACTAGTTATTACTTTCTTTAAATCGAATTCGTTAGTTTGGATGTAAAGCGCTGAAATATACATTATTACCAAAAAAAGTATTCTATTTTTTCACGTTTTCGCTTCGGTGAGTCATCGAGGAAAAAATTTTAAAAATAGAATGCTTTGTAATTGCATATGTATATATTTATTCGTATAAATTTAAATGCATATTTTCAGTAAGTAGTCAGTTGAATTTGAAAAACGAATCGCTGATGGAGCAAGAAAAAGTACGAAAGGGTGAAATTTTTATACGAAGGAGGCGAAAATATGACTCATTTAAATGTAGCATTCCCAGTTATTTGATTTGCTGTGAGCCAACTGAAACAAATGTACAAATTTCATCGAAACAGTTTATCACTCTGGCTAAACGGTCCATAAATTTCAGATAATATTTCATTTCTACGGATTTTTTTCTTTAAATAAAATCAGTTGCTATTTAAAAGCTGCGCTGCAGATCATGCCATGTGTTCCCTGCTTGGTCATTTATAATATTGTGGTAATCTATAGATATAAACTGTATGGTGATGGCGTATCGTCACTGTGTTTTCACAATAGCCACGTCGCTGAAGATGCAGAAAAATACGATGTCGCCCATACATGGCGCATCATCGGTCTTATTTCTACATTTGGACCACTTTCAAAAAGAACAAATCAAGAGCTATTTTCTGATAATTTCAAAAATGCAGACAGTAAGACTTGTAAAAAGTTTTAAAAATGGTATACATTAGAATTATCTATGTATGAATTTACTATAAATACACTTATTCAGTAAGTATTCCGTCAGATTTGAGAAATGAATCATTAATGAAACAAGAAGGAGTACATAAGAATGAATTTTTCTTTATTTGAAAAAATTTGTGTGACCCCAGGAAATTATTATAGATTGACATTTTTCGTACTGCAAAAAATCTTTATAGGAATGAAAATGCAGCAGCACATAAAAATTAAAGTTCAGTAGTTCTAAATTATAGATGAAAATGTTGGTTTGACTAATGCTATACAGCGGTCTCATTTTACGTCAAGTCTTCCGACTGGTCGTGTAGTACGAAAAGTAGATGGAGAGGATGTTACTGAATTTTTATTTTCCACTGTTCTTTCTCAGAGGACTTCTACTCCAGATTTATTTTTTGGTGATAATGAAATTAACCGTGGGGGTCTAACTACTACTGTTTTGGACTCCATGCTTCGATAGTAATTTTGTTTTCAAAAATTCTTTTTTGTTATGTTGCTTTATGCTGTATAGCAAGTTTGCATCAAGAAACTTTTCGGTGCACATAATATCTAAATAACTTTCAAAAAATTGTGATGTCTATGGCTTCATTTAAGTCCACATCTGAAGTTTTAAGAAACAGTCGATCTATAAAAGTGGAAAATAAAAATATGATTGTCTAGCATATTGAATTCATGCATTAACCATGATAATTCAAGATTTTGTTCATTTAAATATTTCAGTAATTTCAAAGATCCATCAACTTTGAAGATGGAAGCGTTTACTCCTCGACCGAGTGAGAAGTTTGAAGACGGTGAAACGAACTGTTCTCTGAGTTCTGAAGAGTATATGAACGAAAGAATTCCAAATCAATCAAATGAATTAAAGCGGTGTCAGATTGGTAATTTTTAAATATGTATAAAAAATGAAGATTTGGTATTAATTTAGTTCATGAGACAACTTTCTCTTTTTCTGGCAACAGTATTCAAATATGAAAATTTCTTTTGAATAAAGTTATTGAAAATCTAAAGTATTGAAATTGTTTACGATGATTTGTAATTTATAAGATTAATTTAGTAGTTTTTGAGGAAACCTGAAAATCAGAGCTGAACTTGCTTGTGTTCCATCATGGGATCCACTTCCATTGTTGCGTTCTGTGTTTCAGTTTTACTCAGATAAGGTAAAGGTTGCAGTGTTATGTAGTTGAGAAGATTTAGTTTAAAAAGTTACTGCAGACCCAGAAATTATGTTTTTTTGCGAGTAAAAATTCGTCTACTTCCATACTTCAGAATTTGTTCTGTTTACCGGTTAAGATTTGGAATTCTGTTTCGACGAAAATTGTCCCATGAATTAGATTCCAGCTGTCTGATAAAAATTTTTTTAGGGTGATGTTCAGACATGTGTTTCAATTTTGCTTGTGCTAGGAGAAAAAATGACGGAGCTTATCAATGTAGGCACTCAAAAGATGTGGTTCCTCGATTACATTGGTATGACTGTGAGTTGATGAAGCCTCACATCTGTCTGTGTTTTTTACTGCAAGCTTAATAACAGCATTTAGATAATTGAAATGTTTCATAAAAATATATATTTGTAAGCTTGATTTTAGGCATGAACCACGTAAGTATTTTGAAATAATTTATCTAGATATATTGGAGTGCTATGAACTCTGGAATGTGGCTGCAGAAATCATCAAGTTATGTTGGATTCCAGCTGTTAGCAATCTTAGCAATGAGGTTTTTAGTTGATTGCATCTGAAGTTCAGGAAAGACTTTTATGAAATTTCACTGATAGAACAGTGAAGTCATATGTATTTTTATTTTTTGTCGTAATTAAGTTATTAAATAGGAAAAGAAAGCAATTGTGAATGTGAATGAAAAAACTAGGTCTCCTGACTTCAACAATTGATATGTTTATAAAGTGGTCTCAAAAGATTTATGATTATGAATTTCAGAGTACTTCCATCAAACTCATCTGTTCTAAATGCAAGACAGTGTCGGTAACATCGACTCCCAGTTGCAAGAAATGTCTCAGAAAATTTAACTTCAACTGTTCTCTTTGGTACACTTTTTGATCTAGTATTTTGTCATCCTAATTTTTTTGCATTTCTGGTATTTAATTTTTTGGTTTATATACAAGAAATTTGTATTAGTAAAAAAAAGGATTTAAATGCAAGAAATGAATACGGTACAAGTTATGCATACTGACTTCGTGACTAGTTTTCTTTTGAAATTAGCTTACACGAGCAATATGTTTCTATCTCTCATCTGTATTGGAGTTTATCGAATTAACAGTATGTTTTAGTTCTCTGCCCGTGCAGGGAATGTGGAGTTGGTGCCGTGGATGTAAACATGGTGGACATCCTCAACATTACGCACAATGGTTTGCAACAAACAGCAGGTGCCCTACTGGTTGTGGCCATTCTTGTATTCAGTAGCCATATTTAGTGTTATTTTGTAAAAGGAAATGTTCTAGAAATGTTATGATCAATTTTTTCTCCAAGTAAGTTTTATGGTTGGTACAAAATTTATGCGGAATTTCCATTATTGAAAAATTCAAAGTGTGACTCTGCTAAACATTTTGCTATACTTCAATGTAAGGTGACACTTTTTTCAAATATATAATTCCATGCTTCTAGTGATACATATTTTTAGATATTCTTCTACTTGACATGACGTGTATAATAAGAACAGGGCTTAAAGTGTGATTCATTATTTATAAAATGTTTAAATAATATGAGGGAGTAAACGACAAACTTGAATTTTAATTCTGATTTCGGTTTCTCACGAAATTGCGCATGAACTGCTTTTCATTTGCATTGAATATACGGATTATCGTAAGTATGTATGGAATATAAGTACTTTTAAATCTGTTTTTGATTTGTATCTGTCAAGTGCTTACTTTCTTTTCCACTACTATAAAAGCATTTTATTTTACATGTTTGATAAATTTTTTAAAATCGATCAATGTTATTGGTTTTTCTCATTACGTTATAGTCATTAATAACAAATGTTTTGACACATGTCTGAGATCGTCATGTGCTAGAAATAACTTTTTCTGCATACTCATAGCTATTAGTTAGCAGTACGGAATCCTTGACAACTACTTGGTTCAAGTAGTTTAAGTACAGAATCTATTCTCTTTGGTTACTGACAGAGTTTTTAATGTTTTAGATGATGTTGAATAAATGTTTTATTTTTCATTGAGCCTAGTTAGAGTGTATTTCAGAAAGTTAATGTTAACATCTGTAAATGCAGTGAAGCATATAACAAAATGTACTGCTCTAAGAAATCACCGCCAACAGATTGGGCTTTTATATAAAAGGCACTGTACTTTCTACGGAAGAGCATTGTACAGGAAACTGAAATTGTCTGGCTTATTACTACTCAGTGGTAGTCAGTTTATCAGACACATCATGCAAGAAGCACAATGTACGAATCATTTGGTCGGTTGATTGTGTTCAGAGTTATTTTTTACAGAAGTTCTTTTATGGAATCAAATTTTAGACATATTTAAGACTAATTCAAGTAATTTTTCCCATATAAGACAGAGAAACAATAGAAGTGTGTCAGAAACTGTGAATTTGGTCCTCAATTTGTGAATAACCTTTACCTCTTTTACCGAAACATGAGGGAAAAACTTTTGATGTGTTATAAGTCTATTAAATAGAGTAATTTCATTCCTTTTATAATTATTCAGTTTCATAGACCTACCAGTTTGCAGGAGTACAAAATGGCTACTAGAGATAGCCCGTGGTTAATATCATTATCGCATTCCAAATCTGAACAACATAAGGATGGAAGCATTATAACTATCATATTTAGGTATTTTTATAGAAGTACAGTCTGGACGATCAAAATCACTCTGAGGTGAGCATATCAAAATATTTTTACTTTTCATATACCACCATACTTTATGCTAGTCATGCTATCGGTTTAATTAGACCATCATTTCACAGCTTAACTTGCTCATATGCTTTACATAATTTAGCTCATTATATGATTAGTCTAATTTTAATGGTACATTTTAAGAGAAGAAAAATATGACGTAGTTCTGAATTTAGCATTAAGAAGTTTCATTTAGCATTTCTAGTGAGCATTATCATTTACGAAACACTATATTTTCCTATTTTTCATATCTTTACTTTAATCCAAAGGAAGCTAAATAACCTTGATATTTGTTTTCACATGCAAAATCGGACATTTGTTTTTAAAAAACAATTTCTTCATATATGATGAGTACACCTAGGTATGTTATTATCCAGATTAAAAAACAATTCCTTTGCTTGTGAAAAACTTATCTTTGACGTAATCCAAAGCTGTCGAAAAACATTTCAGGATTATGATTTTGTCATCGTTATTTATTCCTTTGTTTATCACATTGCCTTTAACTTATGTGTTTGATGCCTTTCGACAGCTTTGGTGGAAATGGATATTATGGCTAGTACAAAGAAGTGGTCCCACGTTCATAAAATTGGGTCAGTGGGCAAGCACTCGTCGTGATATTTTCTCGAAAGAATTTTGTGATAGAGTAAGTTGTATAAAATCTCTCCTATTTTTCTGCGGAAATTATTGATATTAACACTTGTACACAGATGTCAGTGCTGCACACAAAAACAAGGTGTCATCTATGGCATCATTCGCAGCATGCACTTGATCAATTATTTGGTGACTCTCGTTGGAAAAATTTCTTGGTGTCAGTAGCAGAAGATCCTGTTGGTTCTGGTTGTATTGCTCAGGTACAGTCTTATCTGAATCGTATTTTATTTGTAATCTTGCTTTTAATAAAAAAAATTGCAGTATTAGAATCAATTAATTTCTTCTAAATTATTATATGATTAAGTCCATAAAGTTAAAAAAGGTGAGAAAAAACCACATTAAATTTGTTTGAAAACTTGTGATGTATATGATTTTGGAAATCGCTCAGATTAAAATTAATCATGTTGGTACTCATAATCCAATGCGATTTAAAGTGCTTACATGATTTATGAGAATTAATAATCATTTATGCATCACATTCGAAATGGAGAATATATTTTTTAACTTTTTAAATTTTCCATGAATTAAGTAGCATTGATGGGAGATCCTACTCGTTTCCTACTCGTTCATTCAGTGTTTGATTTAACAATCAAGATCTTAATGATTTTATATTTTCACTTTTGTAGGTTTACAAGGGTGTCGTTGATGTATATGCTTTTGAAGAGGTTGTAGGGATTCAGTTGCCTTTTTCAAGAGATCGCTATCTTGATGTTGCAATTAAAGTATGAAGTATTATAAATATTTTTATGTTGATAAGTGCATATTTTCTGATCTTTCATGGGTCAGTTTTTTCAGGTAGCGAGAAATGGAGTGCGCGAAAGTATTCAAATTGATTTGTTTATAATGCAATGTATTGCCCAGTTGATGCAAATGATATTACCGGGATTATCATTCGTAAATCCAGTATCTTGTTTGAATCAGTTTAAAACTATGCTCGAACTACAAGTAGACCTAAGAAACGAAGCGAAGGCGCTAAAAGCAAGTTATTGTTTCTTATAAGCTAATGCATTCACTGGTTTTTTCTTGGAAAAATAAACATAGGTTTTTAACAAATTTATGTTAACTTTTCTAGCACTACGTAAGGTTATTGCGAAATAATAATACTCTGTTTTATATCTAACTTTACTAAATGCCAAAGGCATTATGTCTTTCAATAATGCAAATTGTATTTGCAGAGGTTTTCGACCAACTTTGATGTCAAAAAAACAAGTGTACGATTTCCTCAAGTTCTTTGTTTTTCAAAAGATGTCATAATTGAAACATTTGAAGAAGGATCATCTGTCAACAAATTGGTTATGGATGAAGAAATGGTGCATAGTATTTGATTTTATATTATTTTGGATTCAGTTCATTTCAAGTGAATGAATTGTGATTCTACCAGTTTGTATATTGATTATATAGCACTAGTGAAATTTGCAGATGCATTATATTGAATTGAAGAAGGAAATTGCACTCTTAGGAGCAAGGGCATTGTTAAAAATGATCTTTGTGGACAATTTTGTGCATGGTGATCTTCATCCAGGAAATATTTTATTCAGGTTAATATTTATTAAATTTCAGTGATCAATTTCATCATATAGATTTTTTTTTAAATGAGTTTAATTCTGAATTATGCAGGCTCGATGAGTATGATCATCGCTGGTACCCTTCTTTCCAGAATGCAGTTAACAGATTGGTTTGTTCGTATTTGCTTTTAGTACTAGTGGTTGTCAAGAAATAAAAATTAAGCTATTTTTTGTTCTGCCCATTTTTTCTTGTCACATACTTGCCTGTCGTTAAATATCAAATCATTTAATATTAATTTTAATTGTATACAATTTATATAATTTTTATGTAATGCAGTATCAGTGAACTAACTTTTTAGAATGAATTGTTGAGGAATTTTATGAGCTTCAATGGTGGTATCCGTATGTCAAATTGTGATATTAGACCTGAGATCCATAAAAGGCCTACATTGATAATGCTAGACACTGGTATTGCACTCGAAGAAACACCAAAAAATTTAGAGAAACTCCGTCTTCTTTTCCGAGCAGTTATCGATAAGAAGGTTATCAATTTAAATATGAATTAAAGGGCGTAATTTTAGAGATAGTACTTGAAAGCCTCTGGTCTAATTAATTGTTATCTAATTACTGCAGTCCGCAGAATTTCCTAATAATAGTGAACTTGGAAGATGCTCATTCGTGAAAGTAAATGAAAGCTTTTTATTTTTCAAAGTACATAGTAATGAAATGAATCTTCACATGAAGGCTATTTTTAAAAGCTTATTCGACAATTAAAAAATGTGGCGGTAACAGTTATTCATGCGAATAAACTTATTGAAAGCATTGCTGAAGTTTTGGACAAAGAAGAATCTACACTGAGCGTGTAAAAATAGTAATCAGTTGTTATTAGGGTCGTGAAGTTGGCAAATTATTACTTATTCATTCACCAAAACAGAACTGCAAAGATCCTGAACAATTTTTTGATGACGTCGACCGAATAGTGCAAATAGCTCGTTCCAAAAACGATTTAAGACGGGTATTTTTTATTCACTCTAACAAAGCTGATTTCATTTAGAGCTTTCCTCTAATGCGAAGTGAAATCCATGAATATATTTGCTCCTAACATAAAGTATATTCTTGAAATAGATCATTGTTAGTGAAGAGTATATTACTAGTGCAAGGCTATAGAACTGTTGATCTTAGAAATTAAATGAAGCATTTAAATCCGTTATGTATCATAAAAAACAGATTTGTACAAAAACCCGAAGCAGTTAAAAATCAGCAACTTTTCGTTTTTTATTGCTTATGATAAAACTTATAACATGTTTCAGTTCAGTAAAATTTGCACATTTTAAAAATAGTTTTTTTCACTCTTCAAATAATTCACGTTGAAATATGACGAATTGTGGTTGCAGTTGAATATATCTCAAATACTGAATGAACTATTCTCAATCGTGCGTCATCATAAAGTGTCACTGGATCCATCATTCACAACTGTTGTGTTAGCTGTTATAGTATTGGAAGGTCTGGGACGTTCACTAGATCCAGATTTGGATCTCTTTCAATGTGCTCGACCGTTTATTTTTTCCATGTTGTAATTTAAATGTGTAAAGAAAATTTATTGAGTATTTTGAAAATGCATTCATCGATATCATGATCGATTTAAACCTGAATTTTTAAATTGATTTGTAAAAATATGTGATTTTTTGTGCAAATACTATTTATTAAACGTTCATATTGTATCATAAGGCTGTAAATTATTGTTTATTTGTCAAAGCGACTTACCAGGTGTACGGAATTAAATACCTAAAATTTAATTTTTTATAGCTTTTAGAATTCATCTTTCTGAATTTCTACCTCAGAATACCTTTGACTTTGACCTAGTATATAGGTCTTATATTATCGGTCCATGTAATTATTTATTAAATTGTGTGCAGTTAATACGAGAAGCTGTAAAGGGCTTTTGAAACTAAAGACATATTTACAGTATCTTTGACCTCTCAGTAATTTTTGTACGCTTTTTCATAATATTCCGTACACTGGGTTTTTTGTTATATCTTACTTCTCATTTAAGTGCATTTTTAATCGTTGAATGAAAAGAACAAAAGCAGAAGCATAAGTTTTCGAAAATCACCATAGTTTTTGGATGGAATGCAGTATGCTTCTAGCTTGGTTTACAAGATGAAGTCTCGAATGAGTATGCATGATAGAAGTTACAATTTGTTAATCAATAGAATAAGAAGAACAGACGACATTTGGTACTAAGTTTCTTTGTTAAGCCACGTTGTTCATGCAACCTTCTACTGCTATCAAGCTTTGAATTCATAGTTTTTTTTCAAGAAATAAGATCGCGAAATGAATGCATGGGAAATGGTAGATGTCAGCAAATGAAGCACTATAGCAATAATTGATGATTGAGGAGAATATAACTGCTACGATTGATATAATTTTTTTTGAAAGTTCCCAAAAAAGCTGATGGTATTAAAGGCTTGCACCCTATATCTCTTCCAGTAAATAAGCTGGCTCGAAGTCATTCGACGATAAGACGCCGGAAGTAGTCTAAGTAAAACAGTACGTGACTGTGCTTACTGAAGATCATTGCAGGAGGTGGTTTTTAATTAAATTATGTCAGGAATTCCCATTCAGCGCTCATATTTGGATGATTTTATACGAGCTGCTGAACGAGATAACTTACTACTGTATGTTACTGCTGCTGTGGGTGTTTTCATGCCAGGTTGCGTATATATGTTTTACCAATATGTCCATAAATTGTATTCTGGATATGATAAGGTAATTTTTCAATTTTCTGTATTCTCCAAACATTGTTCTGAATCAAGACATTACTTATGAACTTTTTTTTTGTGCTGTTGAGGTTAATCCATTAGTTTTAATTAGTAATTATCGCGTGTAGAATCTTACAGAAGCGGGAACGAAAAAGCAAGGATCAACGCAAGTTTATATCAGCCACAGTTTTTTATACTGAAGGGAGAAATCATATAACAGAATTAGCTAACCTTATTGGTGCGCGTTTGAATTGTGAAAGATTAACAACGATTAATTTAGCTGATGTTGATACTTCATCCTTCATGAATTATAATGTAAGTCTGCATTTTGACATTTATTGCATTCCTGCAAAAGAGTCTTTTTCTGGTTGTTATAATTATTTTCTTTAGCATTAACTTTAAGTAGTTATTATATATTGAATCATAGAAGTATTGTCTGAGAAAAGCTAGTGAAGAAAAGAACCCAATGGCTCTGTTAAACTAATGCTGTCTATTAGTCTTAAAAAATAAGTAATGTTCACTTTTTTTCCGTAGGGTATTGGCTTGTTTTTGATCGACAGTGAAGTTACTGGATGTGAGTCGAAAAGCATTGAATGGTTTTTGGAGTTTTTGGAAGACATAGCTTACGATCAAAATTCAGCCAATTTACCTTGTCGTCAAATTCGATTTGCTGTGCTTGGTATTGGCGATCTTCGTGAAAATTATAAATTGCACAATCGAGTTAATTAGTTGCTCTTGTTAGTATGCAGTCTTCTCAACGATATTGCAGAATATACAATTTTTTAGATCAATAACGAAAGTAACAAAATTTCGAAAATATTTACAGACAGCAAAAGCATTGGCAAGGCGATTATGTGCTATTGGAGCACGTGCACTGTGTCCACTCTATTATATTTTCAGCCATTCAAATAGTGGTAAGTACCTTTTTTTACCAATATCAAAGCATTTCAGAGTAATAGCTTAAATTGGTTTTGAAATATAACTTTTGTCTTTCTAAATTGTTTTCTTGTTAATTATTCTTAACTGACCAAGTTA